TACTTAGAAATTCGCCTCTAAATTCCTCAAGATATCAGACCAAAATTGAAATCCAAACAACAAAAAAAAGAATTAGAAATATTACAATTAATTACTATACCATAATGCCTTGGGTGAAGTGGGAAAAAGGAGAGTAAAGCGAAAAATTAAAAAGAATTCACTGGCTCTGCAGAGTAGGGCGGGCTAAGCGGCACAGGGTGCATTAAGCGTGTTACACCAGTTGTAGAAAAACAGGACAACTGGTGCAGCTGCTATGCAAGCTCCACTTACCAACACAACCTCAATGTACATAATTTATACTTTTTACAACAAAAAAAACTCCTCAAGCTAACACGACAAGCTTGCGGAAAAAACACAAATTGACATAACAAAACAAACAGTTGAAAGTGAAAATTTTAGAATTTAAAACATTGTCCAATTTCAACTTGTTTAAACACAATTCACGACACAACATAAACGAACATAGACATGCTTGTTTTACGTTGTAAGCTTGACGCCTTATGTCAGCTAGTAAACTCCTCTTGTCATGCCATGATATTGTCACACCGTGCAAACTTAAAGAAAGTGTCCTATCAAGCACACAAGAAACGTTACGAAAACAAGGGAATTCACAACAATACGTGAAAACAAAGAAAAACACATATATGCACAAGTATGGAAAGTAAACACAAAACATGTTCAAGTAAAAACAGACAAGCTTATGTACACATTCTATACATCATATACATTAATTACAAAATTCAAAAACAAAGAAAATATCGCAATGCGAAAATAATATAACAAATCCCTGGCAACGACGCCATTTTGTTGCTGCAGTATAGCGGCAAGCAAAAAGTAGTAAGTATTTTTATTTTAGGATATATCATATTGTCTCCACAAGGATTGTCTATTGAATTGTCGTTCGACAAATATCTCGTTCATGAGTTTGGGTTAGAATGGTTTTTGTATGTAAGGTGCTGGAATTAAATGTTATACACACAAAAAGAATTTTATTATTCGAATAGGATAGAACTCTCGAGTTTGTATTTCATCTACCATATCAAATACTTAAGCTTACTACCCAGTTGCACTTAACCTTAACTACTCGTCAATATCATCATGTATCGCTCACACAGAGGTCATCTCTAACACAGAGTGAGATATCAACCATGTCGCTCCATGTCGACGATCTCTCAGTATAACACAAAACAACATGGAGGCGTTAAGAATCGATACCTAAGTGATTACTAAGCTTTAATCTATCTCTAGAATCTAAGCCCAATAGATATTCATCCTAAGTCCGGATTCAATCCGTCTATCTCTTCAACGACTCAAACCCAAACACTTAGCAAGCTAGAAAGGATAAACATCAATAAAGATTTGTAAAGAAAGTTTCATACAATATCATGAGCAATAAATATACATATAATCAAGGTAAAGTTACATACAAAATCCAACAAATAATAGTTACAAATAGAGGAAGAGGAGAAGAAACCAAATTTCCCTTAGTGTCAAACACGATCCATCAAGCTCACGACCCCGAATCATCCATTTGCGAGCCACAAATATTGTTGTCTATACTCTAAATATCAAAAATGAAGGTGATGGAATTTGGAAACAAATACCCCAAAAACCATCCGCCCAAAACGAAACAAAATGAAAGTATAAATAAAATGTGTTCTGCGAGAATCGCCCGGCGACATAAAAGTGTCGAACGATGACGGCTCTTATACATTTTGCCCAGGTTTTGCCACGTCCTCAGTAGGTCAAAAATATACTCCATCGCCCTGCGACAGAAAGCTTCGCCCGGTGACAACTTTATTTCTCACTTGGTGGCGCAACAGCAAAGCAAGGCAGAGGAAACATCAAAAATGGCTCTTCTCGCCCCTTGTCGCCTGGTGACAAAAAATTCACCTGACGACGCAAGACAGTTCAACAACTTTTGTTGCTTTTACTGCATAACTTGGAATGGCTTCATCTTTCGCCTTATTCTTCATTGATAAAAAATGTACCTTGGAGCTTTATTCCTCTTTCTCCAACAATGCTCAAATACCTACAAAATTAATACAAAACTATCAAATAATACACTTTATACACGAAAACGCATTATACACAAACTAAACGTATTTATACACAAAGTTGGATTATTCAACTGATATTAACAACCAATAGTCGATAAGTGCAACAAAAATTATATACGAAAATAACTATAATTTGCACTTATCAGAGATCCACTAGAGAAATGAGAAATGTTATTATGGATGATTACATAGTCTTTCTCCAAGAACATAAGGAAAATAATGGTATGAAAATTAGATCTCAACTTCCACCAAGTCATGTAGGATTCCAACTCAAAAAAGTGGAATGAAGCAATGAAGGATGAGTATAAGTCCATGCAAGACAATAAAGTTTGGGAACTTGTCTTGTTATCAGAAAGTGTGAAACACATTGATTGCAAATGAATTTTTAAGACCAAACGAAATTATAACGGTAATATGGAGAGGTATAAAACTTGTATTGTGGCTAAGGGTTATACCCAAAAGGAAGGGATTGACTTTAAATAGACTTTCTCTCTGGTTTCATCAAAAAACTCTTTTAGGACAACCATGGATCTTGTTGCACATTATTATTTGGAACTCCATCAAATGAATGTCAAGCGGAATTCCTCAATGGCAACATTGGTGAAATGATCTATATGGTGCAATCAGAAAAATTTGTATCATGAGAATCAAAGAATATGGTTTTCAAACTGATAAAATTCATTTATGGACTAAATCAGACGTCTGCTCAATGGTACCCCAAGTTTCATAAAGTAATACTCTCATTTGGCTTTGAGGTGAATGTTGTTAAAGATTGTCTATATCACAAATTCACTAGGAGTAGGTACAATTTCCTGGTCTTATATGTTGATGACATACTACTTGGCACAAATAATATATGCATGATACATGAAACCAAGAAATTTCTATCAAGAATTTTTAAAATGAAAGATCTTGGTGATGCCTCCTTTGAATTAGGAATTCAGATACATCGAAACCAACCTCGTGGTATTCTAAGATTATCACAAAGGTGTTATATCGAAAAGGTTCTTAAAAGGTTTGGCATGCAGGAATGTAAACCAGAGGATACTCTAGTCGCTAAGGGAGACAAATTGAATCTTAATCAATGCTTGAAAGGAAACTTAGAAATTTAAGAAATACAAAAGATTCCTTATGCATTAGCAGGGAGCCGTATGTATGCCCAAGTATATATGCGTCTGGATATTGTGTTCATAGTTGAGATGTTAGATGTATATTTGAGCAATTCATAAATGGATCATTGGAAAGTGGTTAAAAAGGTTATGAGGTATTTACTGAGGACACAAGATTATATGCTCACATATAGGAGGTCATACCAGTTGGAGATCACTGGATACTCTGACTCTGATTTTGTTGGATGCCAAGATAGTAAAAGATCCACTTCAGGCTATATCTACTTGTTGGCCGGTGGTGCAATTTTTTGGCACAACACCAAGCAAACTCTTATAACTTCATCCACAATGGCAGCGAAGTTTATAGCATATTTTGAGGCATCTATCCATGAGATTTGAATGAGGAACCTTGTCAGTGGGCTACGAATTGGGAAAGAAATTTAAAGACCATTTAAGTTACACTGTGACAATAAATCAATCGTCATATACTCCAACAATAATAAGAGCTCGACTAAGTCAAAACATATTGACATCAAGTTCCTAGTTGTTAAGGAAAGGATACAAAGTGGACATATTTCTATAGAGCACTTAGGGACAAACTCCATGATAGAAGACACTCTTACAAAAGGTCTTTCACCCAAGGTCTTTTATGAGAATACTATTCACATGGGTATTTTACTGTTAGAGAAATCTTTAATTTAGTGGGGGTTAGTTAATCATAACATTTATGTTTTATGTTTGGTATTATGTATGCATACTCTAATTTTGAATATTTGGTTTATAAAGTTTGACATTAAGCTATTTATACTTTGTATAATAAGGTTATTGAGTGATCTCACTTAAGTAAAGTAAGACCGATGAAAAATCGACGTGTACTAACCAACTTCATGTGATTTTCATGCTATATTTTTCATGATGAATTTATGTCATTTAGTTATGTCACTATTAGTGATCAATGATTATTTTAGTTATAATTAATATAACAAAAATCATTTTGATATTTCTAGTAACTGATGATTTTAGTTATGAATGATATAACAAAAATCACTTTGGTTTTTATAGTGGTATGGTTAATGCACAAAATAATTTGGATATGCTTAGAAATATATAATTGCAAATTGTTGAGCTCATAAAATCTAACACTCATGTAAAATTACATGTAACCGGTAGGAGATTGTTAGAATTTTGAGCCACAAATATGACATTTAAAATATTAGTGTCATTATTTTAATTAGTCAAGACTTAAAAGATCTAATTAATATAATATTAAGTTTGTAGCTAAAAACATAAACAAGAAACATTCTTACTTTGGAACTTTCTGATTTGAACAACACACATTTATGAGAGACACACTACTTGCCTGTCTAAAACCTTAAGATAATAAATGTGTGGATTTTTCCACTTATAAATATTCAATTCACCACATTCCTATCCAATATAGAACTATTTCCCCACACTCACACTTGCTATATTCTTAACATGTTTCATGTTTTAATACATATCCATTAAACTCCGTTTCATAACATGCACAATCCTGTAAAATATTCAAATGACATAGCTATGTTGAGATTTACACAATGTACATTCCCAGGCTGATTGCTTCACTCGCACCGACATGATATAATGACACTAAGTTTGTGTAGTGTAATTTATACTTCATATATTATGGTCAGAAACCTTAACAATTTCCTTTTGATGCCTATATAAGTTATCAAAATTCACTAATATATACACATTTTGTTGCACATATTCTATTTCAGCATTAACCTTGCAGATTTCTTCTACACCTCTTACCAGTAACCACCATGCAAGAAAATCCAACCGAACATAATCATAATCTGAGATTTATCTTCTCTGATATCCTCGTGATATCTGAAAATATCCTATCACCTCCAATATTTGCACCGGTGGCTCCAGCAGCAACTCGCAAAACATCTTCAATCAACGCAACATTTCCTATAATGTTGTTGACGCGTGATCTGCTCTCTAGACCTCTCCCCTCAAGAACACTACTTCTTTGTTTTTGCCGATACTCTCGTACATATGTAGCCATGCCAGAAGGATTGAATCGTGTTTTTCTGCGCCATACTTTGGCACACATGAACCCTGAACTAAGAGCGTTCACACGCTCGTCATCACTCGCTAAAACATCATTTTGTAATTTACTTCCATTACCTTCGTCAGCTGAACTATTATTCGGGAAAGGATTGTGCTTGTCGGGAGGGGACGGCTTGTGCACGTATGATCTTTCTGTTGGAATTTCAACACCGTATAGACAGTATATTTCCATATTCGGAGCATCAGGTAGCCTGAATCAGATATTTACATTTAGTTTTCCAACTAATGAATCAAATACGGTAATCAAAATTAGTATTATTGTCTCGTTACTCCTATGTTTGATGCATATTAATTAAACTCGATAGAAAAGAAGAGAAAACTACTCTAATTGATCTGTGTTGAGAGAATTGCATAATGAAAAGCTTGTTAAAAGTGTTTCATGAATCTGCATACTTACTTGGTTTCAAGTGGATTAGACCAGTATTTGTAATGTGTGTATTTTTTATCATCTAAGTTCTCTGCTATCCCGTGAGAGAAATGAACCTCGGCGCGCTTCATCATTTTTGGAGCCATAAAGTTGTATAAATCAAGATCAGTTCTTCCTTTACTAGCCTTTCTTTTAGCAACTTTTGGGATGCTTTCTCGGTGTATCTCGTTACATTCAGTCTGATCATCCTCACACGATAAGTTAAAAGTACTATGTTCAGACGAAATCTCCTGCAGAAAAAAGAGTTATACGTGATTGCTTCAATACGCATAAACTAAAGTGTGGAATATGGTACCGAACCGACACCTCTGAAAAAAGGTGTTTGTGTCCGTGTCAAATACCTACACCAATATTTGTGATTATGTTTAATTTATTTATTTTTTCAAATTATTATCGGTGTCTCCGTGTCAGTGTCTGTGTCGTATTTAGGGTGTCTATGCTTCATACCTCTAATTGTGAATCAAGAGTAGTGAGAAGTGAAGCAAGAAACTGTGAAACGGCCTTGCCAAAAGAGTTTATTCCTCCATACTTCATATGTTCTTTTACGTGAAGACCTTTTGGCATATCACCGCATTTATAAGTACCGTTATATACAGAGTGCTTCTTCATATGTTCCCTCTTTTCAGATTTATTACATTCTTTAGGACACCAATCCAAGTCACCCCAAATGGTTTTACCGCCTTTTGGCATCAATGAGATGATTGAATCCCAAGTTCTACATGCCCGCAAGACATGTTCAACCGTTTGAAGACCAAGGTAATCGAAATTTAAAATGCCGGAAGTCACGGCTCTGCAAAAATTGTGAAAACAATCCGTCAAAACGGAGTCGCAATCTGCTTATGTTATATGATTTCTACGCTTGCAAATTATACCTTTGAATTGAACTTGGGATATTGTTATAAGGACTAACCTGACAAATGCAGCATCACTGCCTTCAGCTGAAAATATATTGCTTACTGCCTTCGGAACACCGAGAAATGCCGGGTTAATATTCATGATTGCTTTGATATGCTTTTCGCACCAACCTGGACCACCACCACCACCCATGGGAGGTGGTGTCTCAACCCATTTTAGGAAATGGAGAAAATAAATAGCCCCCATAGATTGAGGCACAACTACCACTTTCTTATAGCCATTTGTTACAAACATAAGCTCAATTTTACTTTTCAATCTACTAAGAGCTTGGTCTCGAATCTGTTTTGCCCAATTAAAACCAAATTAATTGAAACTTATTTCGGTAAGCATGCCAACCAAGACTTTCTTTGGTGTGTCTGTGTCAGTGTCGAACACCGACACGGACACCTGTGATTACATTCAATTTATTCATTTTTTCAAATTATTACCGGTGTCTGTGTCAGTGTCCATTGTCCGTGCTTCATAACATAAAGGATACAAGAACTGAATAATGACAGTGAGAATTCGCATTCAGAAAGTACGATGAAGTAAAAAGATCAACACACCTCAGTGTTTTGGAAAGACAGTCTCCAGTCATATGTAACCATGTGCAAGTTCTTCCCTTCATAACCAATTCTTGCCAAATTTTCAATTAACACTGCCCAAACATGATAGCCAGAAGCAAAATCGTCGGCAGCAACAAGCCCCGGTACTGCCCTGACTCGAATTCCTGGAGGGTCTAGACCAGTCTCATTATGCAGAGAGAGATGCTCTAACCAGCATAAAGGCCTAAATGCAACCGCAAAAAAATGCTCATAAACGGATTGATTGAATTCACAGGCACAAGATTAGAAACAACAACAAAAGCTTTTCCTTACTAAGAAAAACTCATATTGGATAAATGTTTAGCTAGTATTGTCAATTGTCAAATTCTATGATGCTTCAGCCCTGCAATAGCTGCTATATGCCACACTTTGTCCTAAGTAGCATATCGCAGAACAATAACAATTTTTTCAAATTCTGCTATATTATAACTCTATGGCACCAATAGCGCCGCGGAAATTGCTGTACTAGTTGAAAACCTTAGTTAAGTACAGTACCTATTACCTACCTATAAATTATCAGTTTTTCTTATAGTTTAAGGTTCTTTATGCATAACGGAATATCAGAACAAAGATGCCAAAATTGTTTTTAATTCATTCGATAACCTACTTTAAACTTATAACTAGAGGAGCAAGTGTTAAACACTCATAAATTAGAGAGAAACAACCTAAAACAAAATTGCTTATTCTTGCTGCCAAATTTATAAAATTAGAGAGAAACTTGTTTGGACCTAACTCATCCCTACAAAACCGATTTTAGAATGAGGATTGTCATATTCAAATCATATATTGTCTGATATGAGACTCTTAACACACCTCCTCACACTCAAGACCGGACATCTAGAGTGTGGAAATAAATGGTTGGTGTCACGATAGTGGAAACCTGATAGCAGGTGGAAATAAATGGTAGCAGTGATATCAAGCGGCTCAGCGGATCTTAAACCTAATTATGATAACATGTTAAAAAATATGGTTGGGTCTAACTCATCTCTACAAAATCAGCTTTTAAAGTGACGATTGCCCTCACTTATAAACAAACACATGTTCAATCATATATTGTCCGATGTATTGTATGATGTATGACTCTTAACATTCTGCAATAATTCATAACTTAGTATGAAGCAAAATTATAAATTGAAGTCCAGGGACCTCTAAAATAGCATACCCCAGTTTAAAACTACACTATAATTTACAAAAGAGTAAAACCTTTTGAGGATTTGAGGCAAAGTAGCACCCCACAAAGGCTTTCTGAAAAGTCCATCAGCACAAGGCCTGCCTTCCCAAAGCTCCAAACCAGCAGTCACAATCCCAGGAACCAAAACAACCGGATGAACACCTTTAACCCCTTCACGATTTAACCTCAACCCAGGTGACTCAACCACTTCAAATCCAATCAATGTAGCTGGCAAAAACTGATACAAAAAAGAAAAAAGCCACCAAATTGTACACACATACCCAATCAACCAACAACAGTAATCAATGTAACCCTTCCACTCCTTCACTTTACTTTGCATCTTTTTTTCCATTGTTGAAAAAGATCAATTTTGGTGGTTAAACCAAAGGTTTTTTATTGTTTTTTGTTTTGGAATTTTGAGGTTTTTTTCATCTTTACTATGACACTCGTTTAACAACATTCATGCAATTGTTTATTACTTGTCACGTGTTATCCCTTCTTTAACCTATTTTTCCACCTTTCCACCGCTCCAACACAAACACTATTTACCTAATAAGCACAAACACCAAAAACACGACAAACACATACAATAAAAACATTGACAATTGAAAAGATACATAACTTAAAAATAATTAGAAATATCGCTGTTACTTTCAAACACTAGACACATAGAAATATATATATATATATATATATATATATATATATATATATATATATATATATATATATATATAGAAAAATGGGTTGTCGTACATGCTAGTTAACTTGTGTAACTTTTTTAGGCCTAGTTCAAAGTTTGTTGGGCCCAAATCGCCCAACATTTTTGAAAAGTCAATATATATTTTGTCTGATTTTTTTTTTCTTTGGTTAATTTTTGTTTTTTTAGACAAATGAGGAATGTTTTTATAGAAAAATTTAAAATTTTGATATCATTGCTGTTTTCCATTTTGGTTTCTTTATTGGTATGTAGTTTTTATAGTTTTTATAGTTTTTTTATTAAATGTTATTTTGTGTTTTTTTAAGCTTCCTTTTCTTTTAAAATTATTTATAAGTATAAGGAAAAAAGTTGAATTATTGGCCATGTCAAATTTTGATTGAGTTTATGTAAGTTTTTGACTTTGAAATTAGGTTAAATATTTCAATTTTTATATATTGGGCAGGCTATTATTTATGTCAAATAATTTAATAACTTTTAAGTTAAAGAATTTGAATGGTTAGTGAAACAATGAGATGAAATCTTAGATTAGTAGAATAATTTTTGATGTGATGGAGAAGAAATTGAACTGCAAGATTAACACTGCAATGCTCAAGTCAATGTGAGAAATGAGAAGTAATGTGAGAGTGGGAATGGATTTTAATACATATCTCTATGTCTGAAATTCTCAAATATGCTTTTTTAGGTAATGCTCAAATCTCCTTTTTTTTTCAATCTTGCTTTCTTTATAAGGGTTTTTGGAGAAAAAGACCACGAGGTTTGACAGAGGAGATTGTTTCTTATTTAGTGAATTATTTTACATACATTTTAGCAGGAACATTATACTTGACTTTGAACTTGCTAGTTGTATTTACTTCTTTCATGTGTTAACAGGATTCCTTATAATGAAGGACATTCAACCTGATGTTCGGAAGGCCACAGTGGATAATTCATCAATGTGGGTGGACTAAAAGACAATGGATATCACCTTTGCTTTTATTCGCAAAGGCGGCCTAGGCCGTGCTATCATGGAGGTGGGACCTTCTAAAATTTGGGGGTGATTCTCCCTGAATAAGATAAGAGTATTTGCAATAAATACAACGGGTGTGTCATTCCCTTTTACGAATGTGTGTTCTCTTTGATAGGATTCTACATTCCCTTCAATGATTTTGAGTTTAGTGTGTTTAATCATTTATTAATCTCCACATCACAACTACATCCAGTGAGTTGGGCCTACAATAAGATCTTCCATTATTGGTATGAATATAAGAAGTGTGTGGTGACCATGTCGTTGTTCTTTCATCTCTTTAAAGCCCAATGTAGTCGTGATGATTCGACGCATGTCCAAGGTCTGATATCTCTCAAGAGGTGCACTAAGATGTTTGAGGTCTACTCAGAGAGAGTGAAATACTTCAAAGGTTTGTACTTGTTGATCACTCCTCTTAATGAGGTGGCTCATTCCAACCTATGTGTCATACAGCATTGCCCGTTATGTCGATGTTTAGATAGGTTATCCAAGTTATGGTATTAGAGTTATTTCTTGGCATATTTTGGTTCTTGTGTTTACAAGATGGACGACTTGTCTCAAGAAGAAGTTTACTTGAAAAGGCACTTGGTTTTTTCTATGAGGATTTGAGCTACATCGGAAGTGAAGTCCATTCTAATGCAAGGGCGAAGAAAGAATGGAATTCATACATAAAGAGGTGTTTGTTGGTGGACGCCGACTCAAATGAGGCTAGGTGGATTATCTTTAATGAGAAACATAGGGAATCCCCTTTTTCTTCAATAGTCTTTTGGTGCTTTTGCTTTCTAACATGTCTATTACTGGCTTGCAGGCAAAATCACTAGTGCAAAACATACCTACGGTGAAGATATATTACGACAGCCATTTATTCACCATGGTAATATCTTATTTTTATGTGCATTAATTTATTTTATTTAATTAAGAAACATTTCATCACGGTTCTTAAACCCAACCATGGTCATAGAAATCAGGTGACAAGCTTCAAATCCCACCATCAATATTTTTCTATTTTTTCAATAAAAATAAGTGTGTGACTCTTAACATTTTTTGTTATTTAAAAATTGAAAGTATAATAACCATGGTTGTTTCACTCAACCATGGTTATGTGTTCCAGATTTCACTACGGTTGTTTCTTGAAATCGTTGTGAAATTCTTTTCACTTAATAAAAACATAATATACAATTTATTCTGTTCATAGCACACAAGGGTGCCCTAGGAAACGAGACGAAAGTGATAGTGAAATCTTAACCATCTTCATTCATTTCTGGAAACGAATATCCTCTTCGACTTACAGTACGTTACCATTATGTGTTTGTTGTTCTCTCTCTCTCTCTCTCTCTCTCTCTCTCTCTCTCTCTCTCTCTCTCTCTCTCTCTCTCTCTCTCTCTCTCTCTCTCTCTCTCTCTCTCTCTCTCTCTCTCGTTATGGTATTGGTATTGCTTTCTAAAATTTTATGTTCTTTGCTAGGGTTTTTTTAACATTGTGATGTGTATTGGGTTGTTCTTTACTATGTTCATTTCTTATTCATATTTTGTGATAATAACTTTGTGTAGATACAAACTCATTATTGGGTTGTTGATATGCTTTAGGTTTTAGAGTTGTTAAAGGGTCTAAATGGAAACAGACACTAAGAGAAGGAAATTCTTTTATTGATTAAGAAGGCATTACATTTTGAATCATTAACAGATGTCCCTACATTAGATAATTTTATTCTTCATCCCTCTTTTCTTCCACTATGGAGGCCCTGACATATATTTTATTCCTTCAGACTCCTAAACCTTTGAAGCTTCCTCAAACTTTTTCTTCTCTCCATTTGCCTAAAATCCCTCTTTTCAGCCTTATAGTATTGCTTTGGTTTACATTTATGCATTTTAGCTTAAAAGTAATGTGAGCTGGATGGTTATGCAAACGTCTGTTTTTATAAGAAGAAATCTTGGTTAACGTACAAACTGCCTTGAAGACTATGCATCGAGAATCTGACTTAGAGGTTCAAGCAACATCATTGGGTGGTTCATCATGTCGATTGACTATGGATGGTCTCAGATTCTATTGACACTGCGGGAAATTTCATATTCATCTCCTTCTTTCCTATGTATCATTCCTATGGTGGGTGTTGTATATATATCTTATCTTATTGTATGTACATTTGTTGATCATGGGATTGTATGAAATCTCTTTTACAAATTAATATTGGTGTTTATTCTTGATTTTTGCTCAATCGCGGAGTTTTGGTTTGTCGTAGACATATGCTTTCCGAATTTCTTTCTTGAATTAATATCTATTAGGTCCTAGACTCTAGACATAGATTTAGGCTTAATATTCATGTGGGTATCGGTTATGAAATGCATCCGGGTGTTTTAAGTCGGTTGAGAGATCATTGACGAGAGTAATACGGGTGATGTCTCACTTTACGTTAGAGATAGCCTTAGTGTGAGCAATATGTCATGGTATTAACAAGTGGTTTAGGTCGCATGCAATTGATGTGCAAGTTTAAGTATTTGAAGGTTAGAGTGAAATGTAATTCCATAATGAATTATCTTAGGCTGCAGATGATTGTTTATCGCTTTCTTTACTCCTTTATTTACTTTTCTTGCACTTTTTCCGCAAACCCCTTTTCCAAACTTAGAAGGATTGAAAATGTTGAACAGTAGTTTCTCCCTCTCACCAATCTTTGTGGACACAATACGATATAACCTAAATATCACCTGGTAAATTAATAACTTACTTTTTGCTTGCCTTTTTACCACTTTCAGCAGTCTTTAAACATTTTTTCAAAATCTTTTCCTATTTTCAACGTCTCATTACCAACTCTCTGTTTCTTGTTTTCTTGTTTCCATGTTTCAAAGTCCTTTTTCTTATTATAGTTGGATGAAAATCTATTGTTCATTATCAATTAAAAGTATGTTCATTTTAATGATTTCGATCATTTTCAACTAAGACAAGTTGTTAATAGACAAAGATTGAATGGTTACTTTCACATTCTTAACAACCCCATATACACTAATCTCGTTAAAGAGTTTTGGATGAATGCCTTTGTTTTGCCAGCTGATCATGATGAAGTCATCCAGTCCTATGTCAATGGCTCTCATTTCTTCATTACTCCATCATTGATTGCATTGATAATAAACTATCAAGAGACAGGTAGTTCTGTTGAACACTATGAATTCAACAATGTCTACTCAACCCAACTTCACTGAATTTATACCAACCAAACTAAGATCTCTAGTCCTTCTTCTCTAATCCCAATTGTAAAATTTTGTTTTCCACTTCTATTGGAAGATCTCCTCCCAAGAGAGAAAGACCTGAAAACGCTTACTTGGTATGACAATCATCTCTTGTTATTCCTCACCTACAACATCAGAGTTAATCTTGCTCTTACCATTTTCAATTTCTTGAAGGAACTGATAAAGACTTCTCAGGAGGAAATGACTTTCCTCATACCTTATGGAAGAGTTATTTATAAACTTTTCTATAATTTAGAGATATTTAGGGGTAATGTTGAAGTTGAGTCGATCGAGAAGTTTGAATTTGTTAAGTAGTTTTCTATGTTGTGTTAAATCGTTGAAAAAAGTTTTAATTGCGGCAACGAGGATTCGAACTGAGGTTCCTTATAGTTATATTACCTTGGTTC